AAATCCGTTTTAATCGTTTTTATTTTTTTCCCTTTAAACACGGATTTCCAAAATCCGTGCTATAAATTAGATCTATTATTATTATTAAATTCGACCGTTAACAAATAAATAAATAAATAAAATAAAATGAAATAAACACGGATTATGAAAATCCGTGTTTCTAATAAAAATTTAATTAGAAACACGGATTTTGAAAATCCGTTTCTTTGATTGATTTCCACCACTTTTTTTTTTTATTTATTTTTGGCCACAGATTTTTTATTTTTTTTTTATATAAATAACACGCCCCAAAATATATAGTATATTTAGATAGAAAAATTTATTTCTGTAGAAAATAACTCTTTTAAAATGTAGTATATATATAGGGATTGGTTACAATGAGGACACATTCTTAAAATGAGTATGTAAGACTCAATCCTAGCCATTAGATAGGTATCAAGATGTGTGGTCAAGATTTAACTCTTTATTTAAATAATTATTTTTTATTTTTTTATTTTAATATTATTTTGACCATTTATCATCGTTGACCCGACGTAAACCGTTGACTTCAGCATTGACCATTGATTACAGCGAGACCCTTGGACTTTCGGCGTTGACCTGCTGACCTTAGTATGCATTATGTGTGAAGTAAGTATGCATTCAACATTAATATGAACAAAAAGTGCATTGGGTATAAATTGCATATGCAATTATGAACTAAATATGCACCAATAATATCAACCTAGTATGCCATGTTTTTGAACTAAATATGCACATGTTATAAACTAAATATACATAATGTATATATTTAATTTCAATATGACAAATACGCACTATGGATTAACTAAATATGTATTTCGTATGAACTAAATATGCATCATGATGAGCTAAACATGCATCATGTATATATATTAAATTTAAATATAACAATATGCGTCATGAATGAACAAAATATGCATTTGGCATGAACTAAATATGCATCATGAATGAACTAAATATGCATCATATATATATTTAATTAAATATAACAAATATGCACTATAAATGAAATAAACACGGATTATGAAAATCCGTGTTTCTAATAAAAATTTAATTAGAAACACGGATTTTGAAAATCCGTTTGTTTGATTGATTTCCACCACTTATGGAGCTTCAATTCGCCGAAAATCGAACAAAAGACACAAAAATATGTTTATGAAACAGAATTCGCAGGCGCAGTGGTCTGGGAGAAGAATTTGCTGTTGGGGTTATATCAACCTAAACACGGATTTTGAAAATTCGTTTTTATGGTTTTTAAGATAAACACGGATTTTCAAAATCCGTTTTAATCGTTTTTATTTTTTTCCCTTTAAACACGGATTTCCAAAATCCGTGCTATAAATTAGATCTATTATTATTATTAAATTCGACCGTTAACAAATAAATAAATAAATAAAATAAAATGAAATAAACACGGATTATGAAAATCCGTGTTTCTAATAAAAATTTAATTAGAAACACGGATTTTGAAAATCCGTTTCTTTGATTGATTTCCACCACTTTTTTTTTTTATTTATTTTTGGCCACAGATTTTTTATTTTTTTTTTATATAAATAACACGCCCCAAAATATATAGTATATTTAGATAGAAAAATTTATTTCTGTAGAAAATAACTCTTTTGAAATATAGTATATATATAGGGATTGGTTACAATGAGGACACATTCTTAAAATGAGTATGTAAGACTCAATCCTAGCCATTAGATAGGTATCAAGATGTGTGGTCAAGATTTAACTCTTTATTTAAATAATTATTTTTTATTTTTTTATTTTAATATTATTTTGACCATTTGACCATTTATCCTTGATCGTTGACCCGACGTAAACCGTTGACTTCAGCATTGACCATTGATTACAGCGAGACCCTTGGACTTTCGGCGTTGACCTGCTGACCTTAGTATGCATTATGTGTGAAGTAAATATGCATTCAACATTAATATGAACAAAAAGTGCATTGGGTATAAATTGCATATGCAATTATGAACTAAATATGCACCAATAATATCAACCTAGTATGCAATGTTTTTGAACTAAAATATGCACCTGTTATAAACTAAATATGCATAATGTATATATTTAATTTCAATATGACAAATACGCACTATGGATTAACTAAATATGTATTTCGTATGAACTAAATATGCATCATGATGAGCTAAACATGCATCATGTATATATATTAAATTTAAATATAACAATATGCATCATGAATGAACAAAATATGCATTTGGCATGAACTAAAAATATGCATCATGAATGAACTAAATATGCATCATATATATATTTAATTAAATATAACAAATATGCACTATAAATGAACTAAATATGTGTTTCGCATAAACTATGTATCATGAATAAACTAAATATGCATCATATATATATATATATATATAAATAATTTAAATATATTTTTGTATGTATCATGAATAAACTAAATATGCATCATATATATAAATATATAATTTAAATATAACAAATATGTACTATGGATGAACTAAATATGTGTTTCGTATGAACTAAATATGCATCATAAATGAACTAAATATGCATAATCTATATAGCTAATTTAATTATAACAAATATGCACTAAAAATGAACTAAATATGTGTTTCGTATGAACTAAATATGCATCACGAATGGACTAAATATGCATCATGTATATAGTTAATTTAAATATAACAAATATACACTATAGATGAACTAAATATACATTTCATATGAACCAAATATGCATAATGAATGAACTAAATATGTATTATGTATATATTTATTTTAAATATAACAAATATACACTAAGAATGAACTAAATATACATTTCTTATGAGCCAAATATACATTATCTATATAATTAATTTAAATATAACAAATATGCACTATGATGAACTAAATATGCATAACGAATGAACCAAATATGCATTATGCATATAATTAAATTAAATATAATAAATATACATAATGAATGAACTAAATATGCATATGAGCTAAACCTGCATTTCTAGAAACTAAATGTGCAGTCAAAATATTCAATTTACAACAATATTCTAGAGCCTTCTACTGTCTTTATGTTCTCAACTAAATATGCGTTATGGATGAAAGTAAATATGCATTTAGTATTTCATTATTTATATATGCACAAAAAATAAACTAAATATGTACTAATTAAATAATAAAAAATACAAGGGTTAGGGTGAAGTTTTTCAAACTTTAAATAAATTAAAATTTACTTCAAGGATCAAATTGAAATAACTTATAAGTTTTTAAAAATTTCAATTAAATCCGTAGTGTACAAAAACAAGCCCCTATCCCCAAATTGATTTTCAGCCCAGAAAAATGTAAGTCGAGAAAGAGCAGTTATCGCTTGATTCTGAAACGAGGACTATAATCTTTGCGTGGTTCTTTTCTCCTCATTATTTTCAATGGAAGTCCCTGTTTTTTATTTTATTTCTTGTTATTTCTTTAATGTGCAGATCAAGTGATTTTCTCTCGCACACTTACTATGTGTGCACATGCGACTAGGCTCTTTTGTGCTTCTCTTTTATGTTCAATTGGGATCTAGAAATATTAAAATAATATTGTTGTTGTAGAATTTCAAAAGTTGCGATTGAGAATTTCAGAATGTGGTTTCAAGAGTTGAGTTGTGGGATCCTGATCTCCATCTGAGCTCTCCGACTTGAGCCATGATGTGTGGTGAATGAGCGTTTAGTCGTGGGAAACGGCTAGATCTCACCAGTAATTGGACGTGTATGATCTCTAGGGTGGCGTGGGGATGCAGCAGCGGCAGCTTCTTCCTTGGAGTGACAGATTGTCGGATTGCTGGTCGGATTCGGGTCAACAGTCAGCTGACCACCGGTAGTCAACGGTCAACGCCAATCAACACAAATAAATTAATTTATTTAGTATGTAATTAATTGTAATATAATCATTATTTTTAATTATTCAACTAATGTATATTCCAATTGATTAACTAACTTAATACACTTAACTATTGGCATAAATGTACTCATCTCATAAACTGATAATACAAATGCGGGGTCTTTTGAGTCCAAATTAAATATTAATCAAATAATATCTTCAACAAACATGCTAATTTGACATCAATTGCTAACAACCCAACAAGCTAAGTCCTATATATTGTGTTGTTTTTTTTTTCATGATAAATTGTGTATTTTTCTTATTCAATTCATATTTTATGTCATGTAAATTCAAATATTCCGTTATGTTCTGGCATCTATGAATAGTTGAAGCGTAGGACTGTTGTACTCTTGATATTTGAAACAAGTATCGCCAACATTTGAAAAGGATTTCAAATACAACTCTTAGTTCACATTAGAGCTAGTAAAGTAATCGCTACGACTCGTTATCACATATCAGTTTTTTAGGACATGCTTGTTTATAATTTTTTTTATTGGTTTATGTTTAAAAAAGTTGATTGAACTAAGTTTGAGTGGAATTATGAGTTTGTATACGAATAATATTTAAAATAAAATGATTACAGTTGATTTCATGGAAAGTAAAATATAAAAGTAATAGTAGTTAAAATTATTTGAGTTGATGAATAGTAAAATAAAATTGATGTGATTTGTATGGATGATTGATTTATATTATTTAATCTATTAATATATAAAGAGGGAATGATAGTTGTTTGAAATAATCATGTAGAAAATTAGGAAAAAACAAATTTCAATTTCCGCCTAAATTTTACAATAATGAGCAAGATTTTTGGTGAAAAAATTGAATAAGCCCGCCAGTCATCAATTCGAATTTTTTGAAAATTTTATTTATTAATTTTAACTTTGGACTTATCTATTTCTACAATCTAATTTTTTTAATCCAGACTTTGAAAGAAAAGATCCGCATCCGCAGGAAAGATAATCTCTTATTTTTTTCTTCTCACCTTTTCTTCTCTCAAAACATCTCAGTCGGAGAAGCGAATTCGAGCGGAGTCCCCCTCATCGTGTGCCGTCGGAATACACCGCAACTGCCTGGGGATTTTTCTGTCGAACCTTCACAAAACCCTCGGCCCCACACACCTAGCCGCCCGTCCTCTTCACGCGCCGATTGCAACTGGCCCATCTTTGTGGCGACTGCTCGAGACTACAACGAGATCTTGGAATCCGATCGGTCCATGTGCGGTCCAAAGGCGACAATCCCTGCTGGTAATTTGATGTTCAATATTACAAATTTTTCTTTTTTTTTTTTTTTAAATGAGGTGTGTTCAATTTTCTTCAATTGGTTGGGTGATTTTGAGGAAATTGACAATTTTGAACCTTTTAGTTGGGTTTTTTATATGAGAAATTTTTGCTCTATTTTTTTGTTCATTTAAGAAGTTTTTGTTAAATGATTTAACAAGTAATTGTCTGATATGTCCTGCAAGAAATTATAACTGAAATGAATTATTTGCAAAGTTGTGGATTGAATATACGATCCCCAATGTTTTGTCCTGTTGTTTTTCTTTTGTCTAATTTCTTGAGTCTTCATGTGCATAAATTACTTTCGGAAAATCCTTTTTACACAATCCTTTTGAAAGCTTGATAGTCCTTTTTTTTTATATGTTTGTATGCATGAAACTTGACAAGATCATTTGGTCAATATTAGTAGATTTAAGGTTGGTATTTGAGTAGATGCTGAATGAAGTTCAGAAATGATGCAGTTTCTATATATCAATTATAAAGCTCGTGGGTCACCTAGCATTTGCTGTTACAATTGAAAAAAGATTTTTTTTATTACTTTAAGTTCTTTTGTCCTAAATTGCTATTAAAGTTTCATGGTTTTTATTCACAAATGGAAGATTTTACTTCCGTGATGCCTTAAGAAATGTACTTTCCATCTGCTAATTTCTACAGGAAAGATTTTACTTTAGTGATACTGTATTGTCTGTGTTTGAGAGTGGAATCCCACTTTTGAAGCAACGACTTCAGCAACTTCCAGAGTTAGATAAGGTGATTGCGCATATCCTATGAACATATACTGTTGTCCTTCAAGGGGTCCCGATGTTAGTCCCAAATGAGGACATTTGATCCTTATCAAATTTGTTAGGCTAATTTCTAAATTTATATAGATCATCATAGCAATTCCTGATGATGGAGCTTGGAAAAGATTCCACAAGCTGCTCGATCATTTTGCTATGGTTTGTATTTTTCTATGTTATATATAGCATTAATTTTCTTTATATGTTTCTTTTGAATTTTCATTTTAGGGATTTTTCTGGATCGCGATAATTGTTGTAGGTCATCTGCAACAAGGTTCGGGAAGGAGACAAGAGAATAGTCAGAATAAAGGAGGGTAACCCTACGGGCTGCCATGTTGTTATCGTTGATGACTTGGTGAAATCTGGTGGCACCTTAATTGAGTGTCAGGTTTTGCTTCTTGCCTTCTCCTTTTATGTATTTTATTTTTGTTGAACAATTATGACATTATAGAATATTTGGCAAAATATATTTGAAAATCACATTTTTTTTATACATGTCATTGTAGTTGATGGTAGGAACAACAGTAGGTAATGCAATGCAACTTCAATTTCTTAAGCTGGAAATTTCTTAGTAGTAGCTCTTTGTTAAGAACTCCATGTGAAAAGGATTCAAAACCAAATAATATAGATTTGTGTGTAAAGAAGATTTTCAATACTTAGGCCTTTTAAAGTAGAATGATTTGTTTAATGAATTGGACCTTTTAAAACTTTTGCTTACTATCTACATTATTTACAGATAAGAGGGTGGAAAATTTTGAAAAATGAGACAATTAACAAGACTCCTGCTAGAAGATAGACGCGGGATCTACTCATCTTTGCTGTTGGCGGAGCGCTCGACTCTCAAGCGCGATGAGAAGGTAGCATTCCAACGTTATTTTATGGGTTTTAGTGATTTCGTAGTGTTTGTAGTTGACATTGTGACAAAATTAGAATACTAGATTTGAAAAGAAATTCTCCTGTGGTGGACAAATGATGTCCGCATATTTTTTTTCTTTCGACCTTATTATAGTTTCTATTAGGCCTAGTGTTTTCTTATTGACAATTGTGTGAATTGTGATTATGCAGAGTTATTAGTATAGTGATCATCACTACAATTTTTTTGTGCTTTCTCATTTTAGTTGTGATACTGTGTAAGTGATGGAGTTGGGAAAGCTCATTTGAGAATCAAAGCAAGTTCTTTATGGGGACACTGAATCTCATCCCGTGGCAGACATCTGTAGACAGTCACTACATCTAACACAGGTGTTCTTCAGCGAACTGCTAATTAGCTATCTTCCAAAATTGAACTTGGAGGTAACTTTAGGATTATCATTTCAATGTGAAAAATGCATATTAGGTTTGAATGCCCTGTTTTCTCTGAAATATACTTCAATGTGTCGAACCGCTTCGTATTCTTGGGATATGATCTGATTTCTCTCAAAATCGCCAAAAAAATCAAATCAAGTAATAAGCTTATATCATATAAATCCACATTTTAAAACTTAGATAATAAGTGCATATATATGCACATAAATTTCATCTATAAATAAACTCACATTCCTGGTAAAATCCTATACTAAGCATAAACTCACACATTCGAAATAAAGGCATGGATCAACCCTTAATCTAATCAAGGATTTTAAATGAAATACGAAGGTCATCTTGAAACTTCCAGCAGCATCTTTAAGACGATGTTTGATGCCCTCTTACATAAGTTACTAGGAAATAGTTTTCCACGATAGTGATGTTAGTATTTGTCAATATTTATTATTTTAATATTTTTTGACGAAAATATTATTTTTGTATTGCGATTTTACAGGGTGGCCGCATAACTGGACTAATTCGTGATGTTAACATTACGAAGATGAGTGACAAGTTCGAGGATGGTAGAAAGTAACATTGGTAAATAACAATCTATTACTGCAAAGTGTTGGAGTATTCTACCGATTTTTCAACGTTTTATTTTGACTTCTGTACTTTTGCTATGCAACAAGATGTTGACAATATAGATTTTCAAAAGCAAATGGTTCTTTTTTTATTTTATTTTCAAATATATAGATATACGTGTGGTTGTGTTTTATTTTAGTTCTCTACGTGTTATGTTATTAACGTATATCCCATCGTTTAATATAAATATTAATATGTATCTCTTACCCGTGCATCGCACGAGATTCGTACTAGTTATATTAATAATATTGAAGATATGATTGAATTAAATTTGGGTTAAATTTGAGTTGAAATTTTTTTTTTCTTTTTTNCGCTATTTTGTATTTCACTGTAGTGAGGGACAAGGCCATCGTATAGCCGATATAGACATAATTAAAAAATGAAATTGAAAAAAAAAAATAATTAGATTATTGTTTCTTCTCACGTAATGACACTTGGCAGTTGGCAATAACTATCTTTTCCTCCTTTATGTACTTGTTACACATGAATATTTGATAAATTATTTTAACGTCTCGTTCAGAATATATTTCCAGAAACATGCTTAGTTGAGTTTGAAACTTATAGGAAGTGGTCTGTCGAATATATTGTGTTAGGAATCATTACAGTTCCCAAAATGTGTAATCTCGTAAAAAAGTTCATACTATCCTCATTAAAAAGATGCCATCCTTAAACTTAAAAAATGCGATTATCCTTGACACTTTATGACCAATAGAATTCATCTTGGACCTACCGCACGAATCCCAACTCTAAAACAAGTGCTCTTTGTCATTGTGTACATATATGAAAAGTACATTATATATTTGTGTGTGGAGCTATTCTAATCAGTCTTTGTTACCCGTTTGTCTGTTTGTTT